GAGAATTAGAGGATGACTTCTATCTCCATGAAGCCAAACCAACAGGCATCTAACAAAAGTAGCTGATCAAATACTCCCCTTGGGGTCCATAGGTGGGCACAAAAAAATTGTTCCTTTTCCATGGTCAGAGACTTTTTAAGCAGAAAGGTTATCTTGGAGATAACTTAGTTCAAACCTTACCATGTAAATTTTACCCATTCCAAGGTGCAACTCAAATACCACCCAATTTTACAAAACTTTCTTTAATTTGCTCAGGTAGAAGTCTTATCTGTTGCCTCTGAAATTCCCTTAACATGTTGTAGGAGTCTTATTATTAGATTCATCACTAGATTGAAGATTACAAGTCTTGGCTAAGATTTTTTATCCTTGTGAGGACATGGCTCTTGTGCCTTACTCCTAACAAGGTACCAACACGTTTGCTTAATGAATAAATTACGAGACTTAAAGACTTCATATAGTGATGTAATTGCTCTCTCAAAAAAATACATTTATGGGCTAGGTGTTATAGCCCAAGCCTATAATCCTAGCATTCTAGGAGGACAAGGTGGGAAGATTGCTTAAGCTCAGGAGTTCAAGACCAGCCTGAGCAAGAGTGAGAGCCTGTCTCTAGTAAAAATAGAAAAGTTAGCTGGGCATTGTGGCAGTCTTCCATAGTCCCAGCTGCTAGGGAGGCAGTGGCAGGAGGGTTGCTTGAACCTAGGAGTCTGAGAGTGTGAGCTAGGCTGATGCCATAGCACTCTAGCCTGGGGAACAGAATGAGACTCTGTCTCTGAAAACAAAAAGAAAAAAAATTATGGAAATGTTGGGCAGTGCCTATGGCTCAAATGAGTAGGGCACCAGCCCCATATGCTGGAGGTGGTGGGTTCAAACCCAGCCCCGGCCAAAAAAAAAAAACCCCACAAAAACAAAAAAAAATGCAAAAAAAATTATGGAAACATGTCTGTTTCTAATTTTTCCTTTGGAGATACAGGCTTTCTATTACCTCCCTTCCCCTTGGAACCAGCAGTCTACCCAGGGATAGAACTGCTAAAGAGACTATAGCTACCATCATCTCTAGGGACAAAGGGAAGAAAGTCTAAGTGGGGGAAAAAAGCCTACAGGTACCCAGAAGTGTAGGTTCTAGTGATTTTTTTTTTCTTAAACCCAGGAGGTGAGAACTTATTCTAACATACCTCTATCTCAAGGTAAGTGTTGCCATGTATTAAGGTCCAAAGTATTTGGTGAAGGTTAATGAAGCAATATTTTGTTTTGTTAAAAGAAGAAAACTCCATGGTATGTAGATTTTGTTTTGATCTAAACATTTATCTTTAAGCAAGTATGAAGTTTCAGTTTTAAAACTGAACAGAGTAGATGCTTAGGTCTTAAGGTTTATACAACTCATTAAAATTTTTTTTAAGTTTAAAACTTGTACCTTTAATAGTTTTTGGTAGAGCTTTTACTCTAGTTTTAAACAATCTGTAAAGATTCACAACAAATTCTAACTAGGAATAAAAATCACAACTGATAGTTGAAATTGGTTAACTCGTCTAACACACATAATGGATTACCAAAGCCTAGGGTTTTTTAAAAGAAATTGGCATCCAACATGGGCTTAGAACATCTTATGTCAGCTAGAAATGCTCAAAAAATGATGGAGATCTGTCAAAAATGACACAGCAAACACCTTAAAGGGGCTTCCACTGACCATATAAGACAATAATTGCATATGAAAAATGAAACACAACTATAGCCTAGAATGAAGGAGGGAAGGGAAGAAAGAGGGGAGGGGAGGGGCGTGGGTCGATAGAGGGAGGGTTAGCAGGGGTACCACACCTATGGAGCATATTGGAAGTACAAGTTGGATCTATCAGGTGTAGATCACAAATGTCTTAACGCTGTTACTGGGTAAATGAGGTGAAGGCTACGTTGATTAGTAGGATGTAAGCACTCCAATTTGTACAAATAATCAACACACTGAATCCCATAATGGCATAATTGTATTCATGATCTATGTACAAATGACTTAATAAAAAAAAAAGAACTATGTTTTAAAAGGGTTTGCATTAAAAGTAGAACTATTTTTCCTTTGAGATGCTTCAACTTTTCAGGGCAGCTTTGGTGGCTCACACCTGTATTTCTTAGCACTCTGCCAGGCTCAGGCAGGAGGACTGCCTGAACTCAAGAGTTTGAGACTAGCTTGAGCAAGAGTGAGACCCTGTCTCTACTAAATACAGAAAAATTAGCTAGGTATTGTGGAATGTGCCTGTGGTTAGTTACTTTGGGAGGCTCAGACAATAGGATTGCTTAAACCTAGGAGTTTGAGGTTGCAGTGAGCTACAATGACACCGCTGAACTCTATCCAGGGTGACAGAGAGAGAATCTTTCTTAAAAAAAAAAAAAAAGGGCTTTTTGTACGTTTTGAACTTCTGTATTTTCTAACTAATATATTCAGAAATTTCTTTAATTTCCAATAAGTAGGCTACTGCCATGAGTGTGTTTGGCAACTTCATTGGTATAAAAGATAGAACACAGCTAACAGAAAATTCTTGGTTTTGATATCATTGTTTATATCAACTACAATGTTGGGCAATTTCCAATTTTATACTCATTTGGAATCAGATAGTCCTTGTGTATTTTTCACTTTGAAATCCAGTAAAATGCATGTTTATATTTTTACTAGAAGATGAGTAAAATTATCAATAGCAAGACACAGGAAAGTTCTGACTCACTTTTTTTTTTTTTTTTTGAGACAGTCTCACTTTGTTGCCCTCGTAGAGTACAGTGGCATCACAGCTCATAGCAACCTGAAACTCTTGGGCTCAAGTGATTGTCTTGCCTCAGCCCCCCCAGTAGGTGAAACAACAGTCATCTACCACAACCCCAGCTATGTTTAGAGACAGGATCTCAGTCTTTCTCAGGCTCGTCTCAACTTCTGAGCTGAAGCAATCCACCCACCTTGGCCTCCCTGAGTGCTAGGATTACAGGCGTGAGCCACTGCACCCGGCCCTGACTCATCTTTTGACTTGAATCATACTTCCCAAACCAAGTGCTGAGTCACTACGACTTTACTAGCCAGGAAAGTCATTTCTCCCATTTCACTTACCTATAGTAGGAGTGGTAGGTCTGCTACTAACAGCACCAACACTTAACCGTGGAACTACTCTTCCTTGGTTAGGTCCCTAGAGGATTTAAAAAACAACTTAATTTTAATGTTGTTAATATTTGACACCTAAATTTGTCAGGAGTGAATTTTGGATTGTTGATGAGGATTTCTTTTTTTATTTTTGAGATGGAGTCTCACTTTTTCACCCTGGTTAGAGTATGGTAGCATCATCATAGCTCACTGCAACCTCAAACTCCTGGGCTCAAGTGATCCTCCTGCTTAAGCATCCTGAGTAACTAGGACTATAGGTGTGCACTACCATGCCTGGCTAATTATACTTTCAGTAGATATGGGGTCTCACTCTTGCTCAGGTTGGTCTTGAACAGCTGACCTCAAGGGTTTCTCCTGTCTTGCCCTCCCAAAGTGCTAAGATTATAGGCCTGAGCCACAATGCTTGGCTTGTTAATAAGAATTATTAATGGATAATACATGGCAAGAATGTCCTGTTTCTATTCTATCAGTGTTCTAAATCCAACATTTAAACTAGGGTTTTTGCAAACATGTATACATGTAATTATCTATATAAATATAGATAAGAACATGCATATATATAATCTGATATAGTATTTAATTTTAAGGTAGAATTTTATTTGAATAGGGAATAAGAGCTCATTTCCTTGTGGTTTTTAATCTTAACTAGTCAGTGTCTTAAGCCAAAAGAAAAAAGAAAAACCCTCTGTTATCGTGAAATTTCAAAAAACAAAGATAGCCCACTATGGGGGAAATGTTTTCAGTGGTGGGAGAGCCTTAGGTCACATTTCAGAAAGCAGGCCCAATTCCTGATGGTGTATCATTCACTCTCTCATAGGAACTCAGTAAAAACCTATGTGTACAATAGGAAGAGTGAAAAGGCCTGGGAATCAGTTCTTCCTTTGCTACTAACTCCACAAATGAATTTGGACTCAGCTTCCTAATGTAAAAAATGGTTGTTGGCTTAGACTAACAGAAAATTTCCTTCTAGCTCTAAACATTTTAAAAATTAAAAAAAAATTCTAGTAAGTTACCATAACTTTTTATCTACTGCACTAATTTTAGGAATTTGCTTTTACAAATTCCCTTAACATATCCTACCTTTTTAAAAAAGCAAAGTTGACTAAAATTTCTTACCTTTTTAATTAAGGACTTCAGCCTATAATTTGGAGCTGTTAAGCAGTATCTATCAGGTGGCAGTCTGGGTCCTGCATATGGCTTAATCAGTGGAAGAGGGGTTTGATTTTTCTGCCTTGCAATATCTAGTAAAAACTAAAACCAAAAAATCCTTATTAGAGCTACAATTAAAAATACATAAGTAAAAATAACTTCAAATAAAAGTTTTCTCACATCTCTTGGGGGAGGAGAGGTAAAAGATTGATCAGCACGGCACTGGATTGCCAGTCTCACATCATCTGCATCAACATTAGGTTTCTTAGCATGGCTTGAATAAATTTTCGCATCATCCAGAATTGTAGTTACATATCCTTTAAAAACAAAACGATTTGTCTTAAACATATGAAGACAACTTAATATTTATGGCCACTTGTCTTAACAGAGGGTTCCACCAACTTCTAGACTGTTTACAAATTTTGGTTTTAATAGCTAATTGTCCCATCCATATGATCAATTTTAAACAGACATCACAGGATAAGTGCTGCTCTTAGCTTGAACTTTTTACTGCTTTAAGCTGAATTCTGATTATCTCTTAACATAATTTGGTTGAAAATGTTCCTGTGATAAAACAATCTTTTCTGATTTACACGTTAGATAAGTTTTTGGTGTTTTGTTAACTTACGGAAAGCGAATTCCAACATTTGATTTATAACCCTTGGTTCATACTCCGTGATTCCCATATCCTTCAGGATCTGTGCCATCACCTGTGGATTCAAATAAAGATGCCAGATGCAGAATTTGGTATTGGAAATCAAGGCTGGATAAAGGTAATATTTATGATACAAAGTCCCCTTTTTCTGGGCCCCAAACTCCTACTTAACTCCTCCTTGTCCTCCCCACTGAGTGTCAGTGACCACACACGTAGTATGCTCTTGCTGAAAATATTTATTTTTTATTTTTAGGTGGAGGTAGGCATAGGGGGAGGGTGGGAAAAGAGAAGAAAAAGACCGGGATTGGATTCCTGAGCAGAGTTAAGGGTGGTTCCAGCTGGTTGTCATTTTCGGATGTGGTGGTGGGGGTAGCTAGCATCATAACGCTGCAAGCGGAGTCAGAGCTAGCAGATGGGGTAAGACAACTAGGTGGCAGGTGCCAGAAGCCCGGAAAACAAAGCCGGGCGGCCAATCGCACACTCCATTGGACAACTGCCCTCCGGGGTAGTTCAGCTTGGGCAGTGAGTGAGTGGCCCAGGGGCCAGGAAGCATCTACCATCCTCACCTCTTGTTCGCTCGAGCTGGGCTGAAGCTGACGTGTGAGCCCGCCCCCCGCCTCAAGCCCTCAGCCTGGTCCTGCCCTGCAGATTCTGTGCTGCTCCAGATTGCGCACACCGCCTCTTACACTTCGCACTTACCAAGGCATCTCTCGGAGCATTCTTGGGAGGCGCCATCTTACCAGACTCCATGTTATCCAGCCACTCGTCATCCGGGGAGAAAGTGCAGCTCGCGGCTCCTCGCTCAGGCTCCACCCCTATGGGGGGCGGAGGCAGGGTTATGCGCCGACCCGCTAGCCGGTTTTAATTTTACCGCAGTCAGTCCGGGCGCTGGTCGCGGGAAGCCAGTCTAAGCTAGATCCACAATCGGGCGCCCAAGAGAATAGGCGCCGGTTTCAGAGGATTGGAAGAGGCGGGTAAACTTTCCCTGGGGTGCCCTGCTAGGAGCTAAAAGACTTAGAAGAGCCAAGTTCGTCTTCTCAGAGTTATTTTCTGGCAAAGTGTACCAAATGGTCCATTTTCAGCTTTGCTGGGGGTCTCTCCTCACACTTCTGCTACCAGTATGACCGTTTCCGCCCCCCTGGAATTCCTACACAGGCCCTGCTTCCATCTACCCCAGTGTTAGGGTTTTCTGGTCCGACACAGAACAGCCAGTTACACTTGAATATCACATCAATAACGAATACATTTCTTGTATGCATAAATCACAGATATTGTACGGGCCATATTTATGCTACAAAATTATTGTTGATTTTAATATTCAAACTCAAATTTAACTGAGAGTCCTGGATTTTTATTTGCTAAATCTGGCAACTCCACCCACTAACCTGCTCTCCATACAGCCAGGATCTGTTCAGCTCTTATCATTCTCAAAGCCCTTCAGTGGCTTCCCATTTCACATTGGTGAAAAACTAAAGCCTTTGACCATCTGCAGCCATCCCGTTGGAGTCCCTCCAGCCTTATCCTTTGGCCCTGAGCAGCTTCAACTATGTCCTGGCTGAGACCCACATAGGCCCCTTTCTGGTTTCCCAGATGCTCTCCCTGCCCTTCCCTTCCCCCACCTCAACAGCTCAAGTGATTTTCTTGAGAACTGTCAGTCCATCCAGAGTAACTTTCCAAATAATGTACATCAGTCAACTGACTCTAGCTTAAAAATGTACCAGAAAAGTCTTTCTTACTCTTCTGCATCCACCAATGCCCTAGGGTTCTCCATCTCAGGATAAGGCATCGTGACCCACTAAGTCTGGAAGTGTAGCAGGCAGTCGTGTTGCCACTTTCCCTCACAATCTGCATTCAGTCTAGCACAAGTCCTGTCACAGCGACCTCCTAAAGTCTATTCATGCCTCTGCATCTCCATCCAGTGCCACTATGTCAACAAGTCCAAGACAACAGCCTTATCAAGATTACAGAAACAGCACTTAAAATAGTGCTCCTGACATCCCTCCACAAAACTGGAGGGATCTTTAGGTTAGAAATCATTTTTGTTAAAGCCTTCGAATGTCCCCACCCCCACCCCTGCCACACTCAAATTCATATTGAATTCCAAGGCTTAGTGGGCCCTTTAGTTTGGGGGAGCAACTCACCTCATCTGGCTTGTTGGAATCTGTAGTCCACCAGGCAGCCATCTTGTAGTCTGAGCAGAGAACCATGCGTTCTCAAAACATTATATCCAGTGGGAGCATTTGGTTCCACTCTCAGTGAGTGCCTTTCCTCACTTACTGTGACCAATCTCTGCAAAACTAGTAACAGTACCACTTCCCTTTTCAATAGGTAGAATATGTGCAGGATATGCAATTTTTTTAATATTTAAAAAACCCAAATAAAACAAAGTCTGTCTAACCTGTTCCAGTCTTATTTTACTTTCACAGAAGGCACCACTGTTTACCAGTATTTTGTCTATGAAATTTACAAATAACACCTTGTGTGTCTTATTTCCCCCACCTGAATGATACTATATTCTTAGGTGGCCAATCATTGAGAACCAACCCACGACACAGCTGTATTAGATGAAAACCCATAACATAATACATTATAAATAATTGTACATATATGTTATTACCTGAAAACAAGTGTTCATTTGAAATTATGTGTTTAGAAAAACATAAACAAAAAATATAGAAGTACTATTTACATTTCTGTTACATAAATGCTATTATCTAAAAAACAGTAGTACTAGCTAACAATTACAACTAGTAGTAATTAGTAGGAGGACTCATTAAATATGTTGGAAATATAACTATTTTCATTATATTTATATCACAGCTATTGAACTCTTGGATATTTACATTTTGTAAGTCATATTATTGTGTATTTACTACAAGGTCTGACAATCCCAAACACATTCTAGAAAAAGCACTATATACCTCAATGGTAAATATCACCATGGTCATGTTGGAAGTACTGCCCTTTGGAAGCTATGCACCAACACCAGGGCCTAGTCCACCCTTCAGAGCAATTTTGGAACTCTTTCTGGAATGGCCATTAGAACTGTTGTTGTATTACCCTGAATGTCATCAAAATGTCTTCCTTTTAGTATTTTATTTAACTTCAGGTATAGAAAAAAAATTGTTGGGGGCCAGATCAGGTTAGTAAAGAGAGTATTACAATACAGTTATTTATTTACTGGCTAAAACCATCTTCACAAACAGTGCCGTGTGAGCTGGTGCATTGTCATGATGTAAGAGGCAACTTTTCTCATGCCAAGATTTTCAGTTAAGTCTTTCCTGTTTCTCTATTGATGTTTGCTTGGTCTGCTATGCATCTCACTATCAGCTGATGATTTTTATACACAGTTCAAATAATTTTTGCAATGTTTTTGCCAGTGCTGCTTGTTTCTGGCTACCCTGACCTCTCTCCATCAGTGATACTTTCTTCTGTCCCCTCAGAAAAACGTTTAATCCATTTGTACACTTCTGTTTTCTTCATATAATTATCCCCATAAACTTGGATTACCATGTCCCTGATGTCACTTCTACTCTTGCCAAGTTTAACAGAAATATAATGTTTTTCTAATTCAACTTCCAACATTTTTGTGATGATGTCCAGAAACACACAACAACAACAGTGAATACCATTCAGCAAGACACTGTCACATGTCAACAAGCATATAGCTGTAAGACACTGATATACTGAGATTATGAACCCTTACCTTGTTGCTTGTACAGTGCTGCCAATGTTAAGTACACAGTGGCAAGTTCATGAACATAATTGTCAAAACTCATGTATAAATGTAAGACTTAAGAAAACAGCTTATAAATACAATAAAACAAACAGCTATTATCTCTCATTTAAAAAATGACATGTTTCTTTTGGTTCTATGGTATAGTGGGATACTTGTATTCTAGTTTCTTTGCAATTATACTTCTTCAAACTGTCTACAGGTTTTAGGACATCCTATTTTTCTTTTATGTAGTGGTAAAACTGAATATAGTCAAGCATAATAAGTAGGTAACGATGAAAGTTTGAGGCAGACTGAACTATGGTCCATTATTTCACTTCCAAGAAGCACAGTCAACAGCATCCTTCCTGATTTACCCATGCAAATTTCAACTTGCTTGACTTATTGGTGTTTCTGGGAGGGTTTCATTTGTTTTTGTCTGCATGGATTTTGCATTTCTTGATTTTTGTGTGTCTCAAAATTTTGTCATGACCTGCTTATTCACTTTGATGTGCATCTCTGCTCTTATCAATCCTACATCAGACTTATTCCTGATGTCAGTTAATGTGATAACAGAAAGCTAAATATCCTTCCAAAAAAGTATTTGTGTATGTAGTACTTGTATTTTACTTACTAGGAACAGCAGAATTTTAGATTTGTAGGATTATTTCCTAAAAGTTAGTTCAAAAATGTCCATTCCCTTAGTATTAGAGACTTACCTTGGTAGGCTACCTGTTTGGCACTGGGCCCCTTTCACCTATACATTGTTAGATAGGCTGTCCATGACTAAAAAATCCATCTTTTTTTAACACTCCAACGAGCATTGGATGTCATCATAAGTTAAACATGTCTTTCTCAAGGAAAGAGCACATGGGTATAGGAAATCCCTGGGTTACAAACAACATAGGTTCTGTAGGTTTGTTCTTAAGCTGAATTTGTATGCAAGTTGGAAAAGGTAAATTTACCTATTACTGCTTATAGCCTCTGTTCATAAGTGCTAGTGGTATGTCAGATGCTTATAATTTGAGGAGTTACAGTAATAGTCTCTTTTGGTAAGTGCAAGTTGTACATAAGTCAGATATTTGCAATTCAGGGACTGCCTGTAATTTGAAATTATGAAACTGGAGTTCAGATAAGTTAGAATTTTAGTAAAGTAATGAGATAATCTTGTTTAACTTGGGTGCCTTCTCTGGTGACATTTTTTTTTCTTTTTTTAAAAAATCTGAACCAGTTTTATTTCCAAAAACTGAGATTTTTTTAAACTTTTAGTTTTTCTTCAGTGTAACAAAGAGAAATTTTATTTCTGAAGAACAAAGGGAAATTTTTTGTGGGGGAGGGGCTGGGTTTGAATGCCCTACTCCTTTATGCCACAGGTGCCACCCAAACAAAGGGAAAATTTATAGCACTTACAGAGAGAGTTGATAGTGGGTCTCTTTCATGGAAGAGAAAAAGTGAGAGAGACAGAGATGCAAAGGCCTTCATGGGTATAAATCCCCTCTTCATTTGAAATTGGTTGTGTTTCATTGGCCTTTCTGTGCCTCTAAGAAGTATTGCCCTTTTCAGTTGATTATTGATTATCTCTTTCTATTGGTCATTTGTTACTTAGGTTACTTCATACACACATTCTTTTCTTTTAATTGTTTCTGGTTAATTTGAGGGTAGGAAGAATTAGGTTACAATGTTTGTGTTTGTTAGATAGAGTGTCCCTCTTAGAATTGTGTCCCACTCCCGAGAGGTGTGCCATATACACAATAACATTGTGCCACTAAGTGAGAGCACATACACCCCCCTACTTTTTCATCTCTTCTTGCTCCTTCTTTCTTCTGCCCCCACACCTTGAATTGATTTGAGTTTTTCTCTTATGTGGGCATGTTTTAGATGGTCTACTGGCTTCATATTAGAATTTAGTAGATTGGATTCTTGCTCCTCCATTCTTGTGATACTTTACCGAGGAGAATGTTTCAACTCTATCCAGGTTAATACAAAAGTGTAAAGTCTCCATCTTTTTAAATGGGTTAATAGTATTCCATGGTATACATATACCACAGCTTGTTAATCCATTCCTGGGTTGGTGGGCATTTAGGTTATTTCCACATTTTGGCAATTGTAA